CCCGCAAAACATGGCCTTACAGCTAGCTCCATGCAGAATACCGCAGTCAGAACGGTCTATATCCAGCCCGAATCTGATCGCGTCCGCCTCCCGAATAATGTTCATCTCTGCCCTGGTGTCCACCATTGCTGCGCACTTGGAACCCTTCACCATCAAATCCACCGTACCGCAGGCTACGCACTTCCAGTCCATCTTCGTACCTGACTCTGCCCACTCTGCCTCCTTGTGCAGGATCGTACCCAGATGGACATTGGGCACCAGGCGCCGTGATAACCTCCCCTTCAGTTCATCGCGGAGTCGCGGGGCTGACGCTAGGATTTCCTTCAGGGTCATGAGGTCATTATGCCCTTCCAGCAGCCGGTCAATCACCTTCTCGACGTCGAATCCTTCTTCCAACCGGACCGCGTATTTCTTCTTTTTGGGCGGTCCGTCATGTATGATCGGTTCGGCCTCTCCCCTGGTCCCCTTTTTCCTTGCCCGCTGCTCCGCTCTCTGATCCTCTTCTCTGCGGAGCCTCTCGTCCTCTTCCTCTTCGTCATCGTCGTCCTCTACTTCCACAGCCTCTTTCCTTTTCCCTGGTTCGTGTCCCCCCCTTGGAGACTCTTGGCTGGTACTAGTCTTGACTTGATTTTTCATTCGCGCTGTCTGTGCCAGCCGGGCCTGCGGAGTGAGGGGTCTCCCCCTCATTCCTGGTTGAGGGCACGACCCCACCACATTTACTCCGGGTCGCCCAGGCGCTGACTCCGGGCCGGAGTCATAGAGGAATACTGTGGGGATGTTAGACCTCCATCCTTTCACTTCTTTACAGAGGCCCACCAACTTCTGTTGGTACCTCCCCATCTTATCCAACAAGTCCTCCATCTTCTTAAATAAGACGGACGGAGGCTCCGTTCTTTCCTCCTCATCCTCGTCATCTTACTCGATGATTATGGCCTCTTCCGTCTCACTTCCTCCTCGTAGCCTTTGAGTCACTTCCTCATTGCTTCCCACTTCTTCCACCCCCAACGGTGGTTCCTCCTTTTTCTGCCATAGCCTGAACATGGCAGGGGGCGGTGGCCCCGCTGCTGCTCTTCGTTGGGCTTCAACCCTCACTCCTCCAAGCCTTTTGTCAATGACCTCCCAAAACTGATCGTAGATATCCCCATCCATAGTAGAGGAAATCAGTCCGCTTCTCTCGTCTTCCCGTCTTATATTACAGAACCTTATAGTGTGGCCCTGCTGGTCACAATGTTGACAGATGGCCGTCCTCCAGTCAAAGCGGGGTCTTCCATACCCCTGACTTCCCTGATCCCCCTGGCCTTGATACCCCTTGCCTTGATAGCCCTGACCTTGGTACCCCTGGCCTTGACTCCCTTGGCCTTGGTACCCCTGGCCTTGACTCCCTTGGCCTTGGTACCCCTGGCCTTGACTCCCTTGGCCTTGGTACCCCTGGCCTTGGCCACTCCATTGCCTTCCTCTTCCGCCGTCATTCCTGCCTCACCCCTTTCCTCCACCCCTCCCTTCACTGCCTTGATTCCCCTGCCCCTGGTTCCCTCCTCCTACAACACTGCCCTGTGAACTGGGATTAGGTGACCGTGGCGGGGCCACAGGTTGGGCCTAGGCCGCGGAGTAGATGGGTGGTGGCATACTCGTCTGCGGTCCGGCTACTGGCGGCGTGCTTCCCCATGGCACAATTGCGTTGATCACCGGCCAGGGCCACTGTCCATAGGAGGGCGCCCCACCTTGCGAGGGGCCCGTAGTAGATATGGAGCCGCCATATTTAAAGGGGTTGCTGCCTGGGCCTGATGCGCCTGCGCTTTTCCTGATCCCTGTCCGCCCTGCGCCAAATTACGCACTTTGCGCTGGACCTTCGTCAGGTGCTACGGTACGGGCTCTTTCTCTTCCCAGAGCTCCTCCTGACCAGCGTCCTCTATCACTGACTCTTTTCCTTTTACTTTGACAGTCGTCACCACCTTCCTTTGCACCACTGGCTCAGTCGCATACCCTAGCTGTGCCAATA